AAAATAAGAAAAATGTGGCACTGAATAGAATGCAAAAATAGCACTTGTTTACAACGTGAAGGAGGAAATGAAAAGTCCACCTTAGCTGAGAATGTGCATGTCAGGCAATTCAATTTGTCCCAGATCTTTGCATGTCTATAGATGACTGTGAAAATGTCATAACTATTTATATGAGGTTACAAATAAATTCTTGAGAGTAGGCAAATTTGCAACTATAGAATTTCCAAATAATGGGGTTGCACTGTTGAAAGGTTTTTGCTGAACCATGTAAGACGCCGGGATTCTTGGCCTCCAGAGGAGAAGAATTCAATCCGGGGCCAGTGATGAGGCTTGATCGCTCAGACCTTTTGTGTAATAAAGTTTTATTAAAGTATAAAAGAGATAGAGAAAGTTTCTGACATAGACATCAGAAGGGGGCAGAAAGAGTACCCCCCTGCTAGTCTTAGCCAGATGTTATATAGCTGCTAGCAGTCTGCTAATTAGAGAAAGGAAGTATTTCAAAAATCAGAGAATGGCACCAGGCCCGTCACCCACAACATACATTGAGATAACATTGGCACCAGGTGAGTCATCCTGGGCCATAAAATGATTGACATGAATCTTGAAGAAAGGCAGATTTCCAAGCAAATGTATAGTTTTATCGACATAGATTAGGAGAACAATGTATAAGTAAAACATACAGGTTCTGAGCCTTTAGGCGAAACTTGATAGAATCTAGGGTAAATGTATAGTACATTAACATAGCTTAAGACAAACATTTCCCTAACAAAAATGCATTGGTTAGCTCAAGGTTTGAGAAAAGTTAAGTTCAGGTGGAACCAGGTATGTGGTTACCATTGTGGCAACACAGAATTTTAAGAGAAACCTCTTTTTAAATTTGTATAAAGTGAAGTGAAGTCGCTCAGTCATGTCTGACTCTGCAACCCCATGGACTGTAGCCTACCACACTTCTCCATCCATGGGATTTTCCAGGCAAGAGTACTGGAGTGGGTTGACATTTCCTTCTCCAGAGGATCTTCCCAACCCAGGGATTGAACCCAGGTCTCCTGCATTGAAGGCAGACATTTTACCATCTGAGCCACCAGGTAAGTCTCTTAAATCTGTATAGAGAAGGGAAAAAAATATAACACTAGTTTGTTTCCTCCTGCTGCTTAAAAGAGAGATAAAAATATCTGACACTTGCAGCCTATTTCCTCCGTCTGGAGACCCCTGGCCTTCCTGCCTGTTCCCCTCTCACTTTGTATATGTAATGTACATAAGACACACTAACAATAACATAAAGAATATAACTAAATTTAAAGTTAAATGATAAAATTCCAAGTTGTACAATGAATGAAATTAATGAGATTGACACACACAATAAAGATTCAAAAATTATTTAAAGGTCAAAAGCTAGCCTGCAATACATGAATGTATAATCAAGCAATAAATCTCAGTGGCTTGATTGTTTAAAGATGTCAAAGTTTCCACAATAATGTTTAAATGCAATTCAGTTTTCAACAAAGTCACATTTTCATTTGTTTCATGTAACAAATTTTCTGTGATAGAAACAGACAGATGGTACAAAAGTGGACCTAACAGAAGCAGAAGATATTAAGAAGAGGTGGCAAGAATACACAGAAGAACTGTACAAAAAAAGATGTTCATGACCCAGATAATCACAATGGTGTGATCACTCACCTAGAGCCAGACATCCTGGAATGTGAAGTCAAGTGGGCCTTAGAAAGCATCACTACGAAAAAAAGCTAGTGGAGGGGATGGAATTCCAGTTGAGCTATTTCAAATCCTGAAAGATGATGCTGTGCAATCACTGCACTCAGTATGCCAGCAAATTTGGAAAACTCAGCAGTGGCCACAGGACTGGAAAAAGGTCCGTTTTCATTCCAATCCCTAAGAAAGGCAATCCCAAAGAATGCTCGAACTACTGCACAACTGCACTCATGTCACACGCTAGTAAGGTAATGCTCAAAATTCTCCAAGCCAGGCTTCAGCAATATGTAAACCGAGAATTTCCAGATGTTCAAGCTGGTTTTAGAAAAGGCAGAGAAACCAGAGATCAAATTGCCAACATCCACTGGATCATCGAAAAAGCAAGAGAATTCCAGAAAAACATCTATTTCTACTTCATTGACTATGCCAAAGCCTTTGACTGTATGGATCACAATAAACTGTGGAAAATTCTGAAGGAGATGGGAATACCAGACCACCTAACCTGCCTCTTGAGAAACCTGTATGTGGGTCAGGAAGCAACAGTTTAGAACTGGACATGGAACAACAGACTGGTTCCAAATAGGAAAAAGAGTACATGAAGTCTGTATATTGTCACCCTGCTTATTTAACTTATATGCAGAGTACATCATGAGAAGCACTGGACTGGAAGAATCACAAGCTGAAATCAAGATTGCCGGGAGAAATATCAATAACCTCAGATATGCAGATGACACCACCCTTATGGCAGAAAGTGAAGAGGAACCTTAAAGCCTTTTGATGAAAGTGAAAGAGGAGAGTGAAAAAGTTGGCTTAAAGCTTAACATTCAGAAAACCAAGATCATGGCATCTGGTCCCATCACTTCATGGGAAATAGATGGGGAGACAGTGGAAACACTGTCAGACTTTATTTTTTTGGGCTCCAAAATCACTGCAGCTGGTGATCGTAGCAATGAAATTAAAAGACACTTACTCCTTGGAAGGAAAGTTATGACCAACCTAGATAGCATATTAAAAAGCAGAGACATTACTTTGCCAACAAAGGTCTGTCTGGGCAAGGCTATGGTTTTTCCAGTGGTCATGTATGGATGTGAGAGTTGGACTGTGAAGAAAGCTGGATGCTGAAAAATTGATGCTTTTGAACTGTGGTATTGGAGAGGACTCTTGAGAGTCCCTTGGACTTCAAGGAGATCCAACCAGTCCATCCTAAAGGAGATCAGTCCTGGGTGTTCATTGGAAGGACTGATGCTGAAGCTGAAATTCCAATACTTTGGCCACCTCATGTGAAGAGTTGACTCATTTGAAAAGACCCTGATGCTGGGAGGGATTAGGGGCAGGAGGAGAAGGGGATGACAGAGGATGAGATGGCTGGATGGCATCACCGACTCGATGGACATGAGTTTGGTAAACTCCAGGAGTTGGTGATGGACAGGAAGGCATGGCATGCTGTGATTCATGGGGTCGCAGAGAGTCGGACATGACTGAGCACCTGAACTGAACTAAACTGATGGAGTTTAGAAAGTCAGAGAAGTATTACAGAAGGATAGAACATCAGGAACATTAGGTAGATAATTAAATTTCAGTGTGGTTTAGGTCAAGTCAATTGTGTGTGTGTGTTTACGTGTGTGCACACACGTGCACTTGTGCATTGGATAAAGGGAAGTGTCCAGTTTTGAGTTAGCCAATTCTACATTCAAACATCTCACTTCCTAAAGATTGTCTGATTCTGCCCCCCTCTGGCAATGAACCTTTTTTATTAATAATCAAATTTCAACTTTCCAGAATAATAGTTCTCAAGATTAAGAAGGCTTGAAGTCTCTTAAGAATACAGATTGCTCACACCTACTCTAAAGCTATTAAGATTCAGAACTTCTGTCACATGTCTCATAAATAAAATCCTATTTTCTTTTGATAGATTGTACTGAGTACTTACGATTCAATGGTCCAAGCTTTGAGAAATACTGTTGTAGGAAACTGTGGACACATAAAGGTCCTTCCACTTAGATGATATAACATGATTTAAAATTCCTACCAGGAGTTATAGCTTTTCATTAGAATATAGAAACTTAGAAGATGTATCTCTAAAAACTTTAAAAAAATGCTTAATAATCAAAATCCATACTTTTCTTGAAAATGTCAGATGACTGAAATTAGAGAGCAACTAACCAACACAAAACCTCAGAGAAAATAGGCAGAGCCAAAGATATGTGGAACACAGTTCCATGCTTACCAGGCAAGATGCCATATGCCATACAAGCCTATAAAAAAGAATTGGTTAAAATTTTCAAGCAAATTCCTCACAACAAAGTGTAGACCTACTGAGAATATAGAATGGCTGAGGGCTGTCTGTGTATGACAGAAATGAGAATTCAGATTCACTCAGGTTTTTCTCCCTAGACCTCAGCCGGATACTCTTGACTCTTGAAAAGCAGGACTAGAGGCCTTAGAAGACTTTCATCATGGAACAGACTTGGTAGATGGGAATGGGATCCACTGTAGGATGGGGACTATATCTCACGCAATTCCTATCCCCTAAGTGTCAAATGAAGATCCATTGCCTGTGAGGTCAAGGAGTAGAAACAGACTCTATAATCCCAGGCTGAAGCAGGTTCATCAAAAGTCTCCTGCAGTATGAGGGGAGGGGCAGAATCACAAAGAAATCTGCACTTTCAATATCCAGGACCACTGCACCTGCCTAAGACAGGCTGAAACAGAACAATCAGAAGACAACACCATCCTCCAGCTACATATTTACAAAGATTGCCAACTTTCCTCAGTTTTGCTCATGGAAAATTCTCATCTTCACACATAGCATATACACAGTGTCAATTTCTTATCTTCTAACATTAACGTTGCAAAGTCAAGAGCAGCATTCTTTTTAAAAGGGATTCCAGGCATATGGGAAGTGCTCCAGCAGAGCTAGTGATTATCAGCGTAACTCATTTATTTTTGCTTAAATCAGGATATAAAGACCTTTTCTGTTTGCTTGTATTTTTTTTTTTTTTTTTGCCATGGGGGCAGCATGGTTTAGTCTCAAACTGATGGTGACTATGGAATGTGATGTGTTTTGTTCAGTCATAGTAGAAGCAAAACAAAATGTTGGTTTTCTTCCATGTGAAGAGGCTGAATTATTTTCAAACAATGGGAATTATTAAACACTTTTAATAATGCATTTGACATGATTCTAACTTTATAATTTTGGGTTTGTGAAGGAAGCTGACAGACCTCCTCTAAAATAGGCCTCTATTGCTTCCAAATATTTCCTTTTCATTAGATTTGATTCTTTACTGGAGTTATTTTTTTTTCCTGGAAAATACTTTCAGCACATGCTCTCTAATCTGTTTAGTCCTGACACCATAGATTACAGGGTTGAGAGCAGGTGGAATGACTACATAGAAATTGGCCAGAAAGATGTGGGTGTAGCCTGGTATATTCCGGCCAAACCTGTGGATCAGGAATGAAAAAAATGCAGGGGTGTAGAAAGCCAACATGACACAGACATGGGAACCACAGGTGCTGAGAGCTTTGAGGCGGGCATCATGGGAAGGAAGTCGAAATACAGCACGGAGGATCTGTATATAGGAGGCAACAATGGCTGCAATGTCAAACACCAAGATAGAGATGGCACATAAGCCATAGATGATATTGACCCTGATGCTGGCACAGGATAGGCGGGCAATACCCATGTGCTCACAGTAAGTGTGAGGTATGATTTGGTGCCCACAAAATGGTAACCTTAGAATGAGCAGAACAAAGGGGATGACAAAAGTCAGAGGTCTCAGGAGGATGACCAATGCGATGATGGTTACCACCTTGTTTGTCAGCACCAGTGTGTAGTGAAGAGGGTTATAGATGGCCACATAGCAATCATAGGCCATGGCCACGAGCACAGCCGACTCCATGCCAGTGCATAGGTGAATGAAGAACATCTGGACAAGGCAGCCCTCAAAGGAGATTTCTCTCAGCTTGAACCAGAAGATGCCAAGCATCTTGGGGATGGTGGATGTGGACAGGCCCAGGTCAACAGATGACAGAATGGCCAGGAAGAAGAACATGGGCTGATGGAGACTACTTTCAGTCTGAATCACAGAAAGGATGCTAGTATTCCCAAGTACAGCTGTCAGATACATAACAAAGAAAGGAAGACCAATCCATATATGCATATGTTCCAGTCCAGGTATCCCCAGAAGAAGGAAGGAGGAAGGATGAAACAGGTTGGCATTGAGTGAGGCCATCATTTGGGGATCTTTTTGTAGTGAAATATATCAGAGACCAAGATCTTCTCAGTTAGAGAACATGTCTCATCCTACAGAGAAAATGAAGAAATCAGTGAAACTTCTACTCTAACTGTTGGCTTTGTTGCATCATAGAGGCCTGAATGTCTATGGAATTTAATGGTAAAACGTGACCATACGATTTTAATGTACTTCATCAACTCCATTCAATTGAATTTTATATTTTAGTTCAATAAACATTGACTGTGTATCTACCATATATGCACTGAGTTCTATGCTAAGACTGAAGGCAAAAGATGAGTTAAACAAGGTATCTTTCCTGGTGGAACTTAAAATGTTAATGGTTGAAAGAGTCATAAAATAGGCCATTCAAATTAATAAAATAATTTTAAGATAGAATTGTTTCTTTGCTACTTGGGTACACAAAATATTTCCTGAAAGCTTTTTGTTATTATTTTATAGGAAAACTGGTTGATTAATGACTATATATTTTATATACAAAGTAGGAATACATCTTAATTATAATGAGAAATGTATGGTATGTGAATATATCTCAAAAAAAGCTATCTTTTAAAAAATGATGACAACCATTATTATTCTGAATATACCACATTTCGGACTTGAACATACACAGTACATTATTAAAAGGAACTATAAATGTAACAAGAACTTTGTAAGACAGTTTTGGATCTGTGCTGGCCTTTCACTATTTAAGCGACCCAAAACCATTCCTCATGTCATGGTCATCTTCTGGTCTCTCGTTTCTTGAAGCCACAGAAACCTTCATCTCTGAATGATCTTCTTAAACTGGGTCTGCTTAGTATGAAATGTATATTTCTGTCTTTATTTCTCTTCTGACTGTAGGCAAATGGAGCCTGCTATGTGTGTCTTCGTGTCAAGACAGAAACGCTGATATATATACATACACATAAAAGTTAATGTTCAGGTTTATAAAAGATCAAAAAATGATCAAGTAAAATGAGTTAATTTATACACATCACTCTCTGAAAACAAATCTACCATTAATTTTATTATACAGAGTTGTCAACCATGATATATCACCTTCATAAGTCTGAGCACACTGTAATTGAGTTGTTTCTTTCTCTTTCATACTCACATACTCTCTCTCTCAATAGAGAGAGATGGATAGACATATACATAAGAAAAGGGCCATATGCCTATGTAAAACAGGGAGACACTGCATTAGACAGGTAAACTGTATTAGAACAATATTTCTAGGCATGAAAGTGTGTGTGTGTGTGTGTGTGTGTGTGTGTGTGTGTGTGTGTGTGTTGAAAGGGCACATTGCTGCTTGAGCCATGGACACATTGCATGAGAAATTCTACAAAGGAGACTTTGATTCCAGATACAGGAAGGAGATAAAACTGTGGACTAGATAATTAGTCAAAAGCAAGCAAATTATAAGATTGAGAAAAAAGAAAAGGAATATGGAGAAAGAAATAAGAACTATGTAGGAAAAATACATAATATTAAGAAGGATGATGTTATAAGGAGTCATATTCATTTATTTATTGAATTTTTTAAATTTTATCTTATATTGGAGTATAACTGATTAACAATGTTGTATTAAGAAATGGTATTTAAATTGAGGGGATTTGGGAAAGAAATGAAGTAGAATCCTATCTTCAAATATCTTTTCTGTGACTTGAGTTCAGCTAACTTAAAGCTTAGTGTTTGGGAAACAGCATGTTATTTAGGCATAGATATTAGGAATTGATGTCAAATGCTATTGCTCATTGCCATGTAAATTTAATTAAGTAATTACTCTTTTTTTAGTCTGAAATTCCTTCCCTATGAAATGAGGTTAAAATGTTGACATCACTGGTTGTTGCAAGATTTACATGGGTCATAATGTGTTCATCAAAAAAGTAGCTACAGTTACTGATTAACCTATTGATGAGAACATGATAAATAGAGAGATATACTGAACTTGTTTCTGCATATCTCTACTTGTCAGGTAATTCTTACATCAGGTCAGACTTTAAATCCTGATACTCAGTTCACTTGCTTATAAATATTTTGATAGAGTTCATTATATTTATAATGAAGTACATCGGATTACCCTTATCATTAGACATTTTCACAGATATTTACATTACATACTTGGAGATTGTCCCATCTGAAATGATTAGGACTGTGTTCTAGTTGGAGGAAACTAGACAGCTGTTTGTGTTTTACTAGGATGTAACTGGTGAGGGATCATTTCTGAATAGTTTAAGTTCAGTTCAATTATAGTTCTCCCTCTGTGTTGAATATAATCTCAGGATGGGGGCATTTCGCCAACATTTATATTGGTTTGGAAAGGGTTGATGGTGAGAAAGAAAACACAAAGAGAATTTTGGTAGATAAGTAAATAGACTAAGAGTCAGGTTAGCAAAGAGCTCTAGTGCACAGAAAGAATGTCACAAGTATCAAAATATATATGAGCTGCACACAGAGAATGTTTAATATTGTATTAGAGAAATGAGGGCAGTAGCTGCTCAAGTGTACATAAAGGATTATACCAACTCATTCTTATAGTCAGTTCCCTTATCCCCTCCCCTCAGTCAGAAAGCTTTGCTTGTTTTCCCCTATCCTACCACCTACCATTCTTTTTCTTGTGTTCTGCTGACCACAGAAAAAGATCTTTGCTTCTAAAAACTAACTTACCCAAAGAGATTTCTAGAGAAGTTTGCATCTTTTTGAACTCCCTTTGCTTAGGTGGGAGGTTTTATGGTTTGGTGGTCACAGCCTCCAGAGTGACACTTTTGTTGTACTGGGAACACTCTAAGGTTGGGAGAGAGAAAAACAATGAAGTTCTGAGATCTGAAATAACTGCTTTTTCAGTGAAATAGAACATCATCAGACATAAGTAGCTCACATCCTGATCCTGGACCCAGACTTTCAAATTTAGTATTGTTTATTTTCAAACGAAAATTATTATTATTATTTTATCTTCTAGAATTATTGAAAAACTTTTCACAACAGGGTTCTTAGGATTGGTTCTAGGCTCTTAATCCTAACTCCTTGAGATGGCTGGGGCTGATCCAGGCCACATTATGTATAAAGCAATGGGTGCATTAAATTTGGATCTCTCTTCTTAGTATTGTATAGCTACCATTTTGATTTGATAATGGCCAATGCAAGAGACACAGAAGATGGGGCTTCAGTCCCAGGGTCAGGAAGGTCCCCTGGAGGAGGAAATGGCAACCCACTCCAGTATTCTTGCCTGAAAAATCTCATGGACAGAGGAGCCTGGCAGGCTACAGTCTTCAGTTCAGTCCAGTCATGTCCAGCTCTTTGCAACACTATGGACTGCAGCATGCCAGTCTTCCCTGTCCATCACCAACTTCCAGAGCTTGCTCAAACTCATGTCCATCGAGTCAATGATGCTATCCAACCATCTTATCCTCTGTCATCCCCTTCTCCTCCTGTCTTCAATCTTTCCCAGCATCAGGGTCTTTTGCAATGAGTCAGTTCTTTGCATCAGGTGGCCGAAGTATTGGAATTTCAGCTTTAGTATCAGTCCTTCCAATGAATATTCAGGACTGGTTTCCTTTAGGATGGACTGGTTTTATCTCCTTGGAGTCCAAGGGACTCTGAAGAGTCTTCTCCAACACCATAGTTCAAAAGCATCAATTCTTCGGCACTCAGCTTTCTTTGTGGTCCAGCTCTCACATCCATACATGACTACTGGAAAAACCATAGCTTTGACTAGACAGGCCTTTGTTGATAAAGTAATGTCTCTGCTTTTTAATATGCTGTCTAGGTTGATCGTAGCTTTTCTTCTTTGAATTTCATGGCTGCAGTCGCCATCTGCAGTGATTTTGGAACCCAAGAAAATAAAGTCTGTCATGGGCTACAGTCTATGAGTTTGCAAAGAGTCAGACACAACTGAGAGACTGAGCACACATGCATGCACCTGTAGATAGCATCAGGTCACACAGGTCAGAATCCATTCCTACGGGATTTTCCCCTGCCCTACTTCCAATACCAGTCACAAGCCCAGTTATCATCCATTCTTCTGACAGACCAGCATACAGACCAGATTGTAGGTTGACTGTAAGCTCTAAACTCACTCTTTTGACCTCAGTGGCAAGTTGCAAGTTAAAGTTGTTACTTGCACGTTTGACTGACTGGTTGTAAACCAGAGATTGCCATGCCTTCCTCCTTGTGTGCTTGTGTGCTGAGTCACTCCAATTGTGTGCAGCTCTTGGCACCCTCACAAGCTGTGGCCCGCCAAGCTCCTCTGTCCATGGAATTTTTCAACCAAGAATACCGGGATGGATTGCCATGACCTCCTCCTTGGGTTCAATTAATTTGCTAGAGCAGCTTAC